ATGATGGAAGTAGAGGACGAATATCATTTCATTATGATATGTCCTCTGTACGAGATGCTTAGAAAGCGGCTCATTCCCATTTGGGCTTATACAAATCCATCTGTAAATAAGTTTTATTCTTTAATGTCATGTAATTCATTTGAAATTATTAGTAACTTAGCTGTTTTTATACAAAATGCATTTAAGTTGAGACAAGATGTACTTGACCTTTGACCAAAGATTTGTTGTATCAGTATTGTAATAAGCAAAAGGGGCTAGTGGCCTATAAGAGCAAATTAAATATATATATATTCCATTCAGTGAAAGTCTCTAAATAAACAAAACAAACAAACAAACAAATAAATAAATAAAAATTCAGTAAGTAAAAAATAAATTAATAGCTGGGATTTATTAGCATTACTCTATACCAGACTACGTTAATTTAAATGAAGTAAATTCAATGTGTTAAAAACAGTATTGGTAGTATCAAAGGCTAAAACCAATTGTATCTCCACGGCGATAATTCGATTATTTCGTTTCAAAGTTGGTGGCGCTCTTCAAAATGGCAGCTTCCATGGAAGATGCGGGACGAGGTCGGTAGTGTGGCGTGGAGGTGGTTTACAGAGTCTGTTGGGCCAACATAACTACGGTAATGCAGAACAGATCTGAATCTTGAAGGAAGCCTGAAATCACGACGTTTTACTTCAAACGTCGTTACGGTCGGTTCAAAATCTGTTGCTACGTGGATTGTTGGGACACAGGCGATAATCAAAATGACGGACTCGTCACGGCCAGCACACACCATAGACTGTCAACATTCACAGAAAATTCTCCATGAGTTGAAATCTTTCTACGAGACTGGTATCCTCACCGATGTTACGCTTGTAGCCGGAGAACGTTCCTTTGCGTGTCACCGTAATGTTCTTGCAGCTTGCAGTCCTTACTTCCGTGCCATGTTTACCGGCAGTCTTCGTGAAGCCAACATGGAAAGGATTACAATAAAGGGTGTGGAACCGCAGTCACTGCAGTACGTGTTAAACTATGTGTATTGCTCTGAAGTAACACTAGACGCCGAGACAATACAAGGGTTGGTGCAAGCGGCCCACATGTTTCAGATTGAACCACTTATTAATCACTGTGCCGACTATTTAGAGAGACACATTGACGCACACAATTGTGTCGGTGTGTACAATTTAGCTGTGCTTATCACGCACAAGCAGCTCGAGACTTCGGCGTGGGAGTATTTTAACCTACACTTTGTGAAGGTAGTAGAGGAAGAGGAATTTGCCCAGTCTCCGACCGAGGTCATTGAGAGAGTTGTGAAAAGCAGTACACTGAACGTTAAGAATGAAGAAACTGTGTATGAAGCCTTGTTAAAATGGTACACCTTTGATAAATGTAATAGGAAAGAAGTTCTTTGGAAGTGCTTTCTAGATTTACGTCTGGGGTTCATGAAGCTGACTTATCTTTGCAACAAGATTAAATGTAATCAGACTATTGCCGAATCCACTGAATGTTTGAAGTACATTGAGGAAACCATACATGGCCATTCTGATGAGGCTGGGAGTAGTGAGGATTTTCTTTTTGACGGACCCAGAATTGAGAGACGCTTAGGAATGTTTGCCCGAGACATATTAATTATTACCGACAAAGGCTGGGCAGTGGAAGACAACCGAAAACTAGTTTGTCTTGATCCCAGTTCGGCTGAGCACTGCAGTATACCATATCCAGATGAAATGAATGAGTGTGGTGCAAAATTTGTGGTTACATCCAATAACGATATTTATGCTGCTTCAAGCCAGTATGAAGATAGAAAGTTTTACCAATATAATCATATTAGAAAAGTTTGGATGGAGCGAGAACCTATGTTGTCTGGCCGGGAGAAGTTTGGGTTTGTTTCATGTAATGGATGCGTGTATGCATTAGGAGGAGAAAATGATTGGGAAATATTAACAAGCATTGAAAAGTATGATCCACTGCTCGGCAGATGGGAGTATGTTGCTCCCATGCCACGTGAAGCTATGGATATGTCTGCTGCAAGTGTGGAAAAACACATCTATGTTTTCTCTGGAAGTCGCACAATGAGTTATAACACCGAGACTGACACTTGGAATATTAATCTCCCGCCCATGGTGTACCCGAGATTTTCGAGTGGCATTACTGTACATAATAATGAAATTTGGCTAGTCGGCGGTGAGGATGACGACTCAAAGAAAGTACACGACGTAGAAGTTTATAACCCTGAGATAGGGGAATGGTGGCATGCTCTGGAACTGTTTTCACCAATGAAAGAATATTACCCGGCTAGTTTGAATAACAAACTTTATGTGTGTGTTCTGTCTCCTGGCTTCAATGATGGGTCCTCAGAATCTGTAATAGAAGGGAGGGATGATTTCAGTATTCTTAAACGCTATTATTCCTCTATTGTCTATGTCGGCGATTATGGTTCAGAAGATGATGAAGAAGAAGTTGAATACGAGGCTGTTAAGTGGTTCAGTCGGAATACAGATTGTTTAGCAGCAACGTATGCTTTACGACCAGAAGCCTGCTTCTCTGCTCGTATATTCTTTGAAGCTGAGAAGGATGATTAAACTTGCTTACTATCAGGGATTGCCTTAACTGCTTCCGGGACCACCAATACTAGAAAGGGACCCCCATTTTTGTACAAAAAGGGGTTCCATTTATAATAAACCTTCACAAAATATATATTTTCAATTCCACTTCATTTTCTCATCAGGACTTGCTACATTGAAATATTAATGTAATCCCTGCTTCATATGTGGCCAAATACCATTCTTATTCCAAAGTATTTTTCAGGGCAATTATATTTCGTGAATACCATGACAACATATGCTGACAGTAGTGTATAGAGAGAATCTTAAAGAGTCATGGTCATAGTCATGATCAATTCTACAATGATGTGTGTATTACGAGAATACCTCAAAGTATGCATGAAGACAGTACAGCTGGAGTATCGATTGACGCGCGGCGAACTGTCTAAGTGTGGATACTTTGAGGTATTCTCGTAATAACCTTATTATTATATTATTTTCCTCCCAGGAATGCATCATGGGAATTCTGAAATCCAAAAAGTTTAGAACAGAATCAGCGAACTCCTTTTGAGGAGTCTGGCAAGCCCAGGTGTCAGCCATGTTTGTTTTTATTATAAGAGGTACTTATGCACGTAATCATTCCATATTTGGAATTCGCATTTCCTTATATGGTAGGATGAAAATACCCTGTAAAATACTGCAAAATTACAGCACGCTGTAACTTATGGCGTTACGGTGACAGATTATAATAATACCTGAAAATGTATAATAATGTAATGAATACCCAAATGCTTTGAATTTAAAATTAAATCTTGATCCAGGCATACTATCACTTTTACTTAGACATGACTGTTTTTTATCTAAATTTATAAGACATGCTACTTTCAAATTTGAAAAAAAAAAAGTTTTTATTTAGCTAGCGAAGCCTTTTGGTAATGCCCAATACTCATGGGCATATTATGCAGAAAATATATCAAATTTATTCAAAACAATTCAAATCATTTGCATCTCAGACAAATAATAGTTCTCTGAGTTTGTGTATATATATATATATATATATATATTGTATTGTAAAGTTTGGCACAGAATGTTGAAATTGCAAAAACTATTCATTTTAAGGTAATGGAATCAAAGGTCACCTTTGTGGAATTCTTTATGGATGGTATGCATCCACTAATTGTGATTTCATATAAAAAAAAACATTCATGGCTTGAGGAAATGTAGTGTATAAAAACAATACTGTGAACACTGCTTTAAAGTTTTGTAGTGAAATTAAGTTGAAAGACCTTTTAATACTGAGAACTATTAATATGGCTGAAAAATCGGGAAAGTTTGGGCGTTCGTGAGTTATACTGATCAAAACCTGAATACTGCAAGGTTTATCCACCAAGTTATTGTTTTCTCAATAATTGCTGTCTTGAATTATTCATGTATGCAACCAACCAACGTTTGATGTTCACTCAAACACAGTGGCAGTAAAATTGTTATACTATAAAATCAAAAGGAGTCATAAATGGCTACTACAAGAAACAACTAAAAAAGGCTGTTGTGCAACCGTGACTCATCTTAATGGAAAATGCTTCACATCAAATGATACTGGTCCATTTTCAATCATCAAAGATTCGGTGTCTCGATGATGACATGTTAAGATGCTGTGAACTCAATCACAATTAAGTTACGGTAATGCTCTTCTAAGTTCTGCTATTTGCACACTTTGGTCTGTATTATTATATTATGCTTATAACTTCACATGAAAAAAGATTCAAACACAATTTTGGCGACAAATCAATGAAAATTTAACTGGAATTCTTGTACAGAAAAATTCCATAATAAACCTTTTCTGAATTTACAATCATTTAATAATACTGCTCAATTTTCTAACTGGAATTCTTGTACAGTTTGAGCTTTGTATTAAGAACAATTCTAGAGGAAGCCATTTATGAATTTACAATTATGAAAACAATGAGTAGAAATTTGAAACTACTGTGTGGAAATATTTAATTATTTTCCTTTGTAGTTTTAAGAAATATCTTGTAAAATCAAACTTAAAAATAAAGTTGTCCAATTGTCTACAATGCCATTTGCTGTACTTGCATACTAATCTCGCTTTGTGCTTACTTAAATTGTCATTCAGCCAATGACTGAGAAATCTAGATAGTTTACTTTGATATTGTGATGTATGTAGGGCGGAATTAAAAAAAATCAAAGTAAAATAATATAACAAAAGTAATAACAAATAAAATTAAAATAAATTTATAGCGAAAATAATTAAAGCCTGTACACTACATCAGATTTTAATCAGATTGGATCAATCAGCAAAACCTTAGAAACAACTCCCATGTGCTAACATTATTCAAGGCATGAAGTATAAATAAGGAATACCGTATTTACAATATTAGAAGTACGTCTCCAAATCATTGAAATAATTGTATGTCTTTGACCACAGACTCTTTTCTGTCATTTACGCATATGCACTTTTAATAGAGCAAATGCTGTATTTAACATAACTGGAAGTAGTGATGTGGGTGGTTCTCGGGGGGCTATGATATAAATAAATATATGAATTGGTATTTTGGTAACATTGTTTCATTTTGACAACAGCATCATAGTATTGGTTGCATCCCTATCTCCAACAGTAGTTGCAATACATCAGATGACCATATATGCGAGATTAAATGACCATATATGGTCATCTGATACATTATTCATATTACTTTCCCAATGCTTTCATTATAACACTAGTTGCATGTCCCTATCCTAAACAGTACTTGAGATATAACATTTATGCATAATAATGAGATCACATGACCATATATGGTCATCTGATACATTATTATTAATATTACTTTCCCAATGCTTTCATTATAACACTAGTTGCATGTCCCTATCCTAAACAGTACTTGAGATATAACATTTATGCATAATAATGAGATCACATGAAAATATATATACATGTGATAAATTGGTCATTTTACTTGTCCAATGCCTTCATTACAGCATTTGTTACATATACTTATCAGCAATAATTCTCTAAATATTAAAATAATGCTTATTAATTACATCACATGACCAAATATAGTCAAATAATACATCAGCCACATCTCTCATCCAATGCCTTCAAAGCTGCACTGGTATTAGTTATGCATATTCATGAGGTCATGTGAAGACCATATTGGTTCTGTGATAAGTTGAGATATAACAGTAAGGCTTATAAATGCGATAACATGACCATATATGGTCATCTGATACATTAATCATATTGCTCTTCCAATGCCTTCATTATAACACTGGTTGCATGTCTTTAGCATACCGAAAGCTTGAGATATTAGTTACGCACATTAATGAGGTCACATGACCCAATTTATGCATAAGTATGAAATTTAATACAAATAGATTTCAACCTAAAGTAATCAAGAATGTGGATTACCCAAGAACATCCATGTCCCAAGTTTCATTGATATCTGATGTTTGAGACATCAGCAGGAAAGGCTGAAAAATTGCTATTATGCAAATTAGCATATACAGATTTGAAACCCAAAATAAACGGGTCTGGAAATTGTCCAAGAGCATCTATCCACTAAGTTTCATTGACAATTAGAAAATTATTATGCTCAGATTTCAACCCAAACTTTAACAGATCTGTACATAATCCAAGGGCATTTATGTAAATATTAGTTTCCTTGAATTCTGTTGATTGGTTCTTGAAATATTCATAATTATGGGTATGCATAAGCAAAAATTTCAACCAAAAACTAATCAGGTCTATGTTTTGTCCCAGGACATACACTTACCAAGTTTCATAGAAATCTGACAGTTCTTGAGGCAATGGTGGAGCAACATACACACATACTCTCATTGCAAAGACTATTTGTTCTATCTACTTGGATTTGGTTTTTGACTTGTCATTTGTAAACTTCTGTTTTTTTGGTGCAAGGTTTTCTATAATTTACTGTAAAATACTTTGCTGAAGGAATGATTCAGTGAAAATGAAATCCAGCAAATATACCTTTTTTCCTATATTTTACATTCAACTTGACAGAAATCAGTGAAAATAAATCCCATACAAAACACCTAAAAGTATTTTCAGTGAAAATTAATTCACGCTTAAAAAAAGTATTTTACAGTAATTACTGGTATGTTTTCTACTATAGTTTTGTCTTTCAGTCAGTGCTCAATTTGAAATGCAGATTGACAACAATAATATAGAACATCTAGATAACTTTATTTCACTATACCAACCACATGCATGTGACAGTTGAAAAAGAAGTAAAACACATTTAGGAAAATAGGGATAAATCCTAAAGTTTCCATTCTTGAAGTAAAAGTGCTTAGGTGAATATAGTGAACTACCGGTACTGTCAGAAGCAAACGCGATACATTGCTTTGATATTCAGCAAAATCTTACATAAAACATACTCAATAAATCTTGCAGCAACTGTTAATTGTCCATGAATTACGGCTACAATAATTGTACAATGATAATAAACGTACAACTACAGAAGTTTAAAGCATGTATGACAACCAAATTAACAGCTTAGCACACCTTGAATACATCTCTCTGTCTATACCAGGTAACTTACACAATATCAGGTGAAAGGTTGAGGAAATATCCAGACCACTTAAAAATCTCGACTAGTGTATTTACTCTATTAGTATGGCGTGCACTTACGTAAATGACAGAGGTCTGTCTATGTCCATAATAATGCAGATTTTAATCCAGTTTGTTTCCCTCAGAGTGTGCTTATAACAGAGCACACACAGTAATTATAATAATCTTCTTTACACATTTCTCATTTATTTAAAACTACAAGATAAATCTTACGGAGACAAATTTAAAAAGAAATAGTAAGACGAATGCATTTGTCGCTAGATCACTTGTTACATGCAGTGGCAAGCCGTTTTAAAACTATGACTAAAAAACTACAATATTAAGAACTGATATTATTGCGACTGGAACAGATCGTTTAGTTCTGGAATAAAGAGCGAGTAAAATCAACAAAGTCCAGCGCTCCAGGGACAGTTCTTCCTTTGCTGTCTGTGTACGGCTTCATATGTAGAATACACCATTCTGCTTGGTCTTTTGGTAGGTTCTAAAAAAAAATATGAAAAGTAGAAAATTATAAGTAATGGTACAAGGAAGATAATAATCTACACATTTTCTGCACTTCTTGATTGTAATACTTGACTGTCACAAATAGTGAATAATTTTTTTACCGTAAAATTGCTGAAAGTACTAAAGCACTTACCGAATATAGTTCTTGCTTGGTGACAAAAGATTTTCCTTCTGAGCTGAGTGCACGGAAAGCATTTTCAATTTCTTCGCTGGATTGGACATTTTCAGTTTCACGGCTAATCATGAATGCCATGTATTCTTGTAAAGAAACAAAACCATCCCTGGAAATATAATTAAATAAAGTTATAAAAGTGTTTCTGATTGGCTCACACGCATTGATTCCAGCATGGAAGGTGTTCTATATCTTACTCAAGAATATAGCTGATGACAATCAACTACTGAAAAACATTTTTGGTGCATTGTATGGAATTTATTTTCACTGATTTTTGACAAGTTGAATGTAAAATATAGGAATAAAGGTATATTCGCTGGATTTTATTTTCACTGAATCATTCCTTCAGCAAAACTTAATTCCAAGCGAAAATAAAGTATTCTACAGTATTATATGCAAATAACTAGTAATTTGCATAACTATTATGCCATACTGTAATTTGCATAAAGCTCACTTTATAGAATTTATTGTTTCTGTCACAAACCTAACGAATCTTCACATCATCAAATCCGCTAAAATTGAACAGTGAATTTTTCTTCTATGCGAAATGGTAAATAAGTATTACTATTATATAATAGTACTGGGCATATTTCCATACATGGAGTTGACAAGTAACAATGCCATATATGGTAGTAATGCAGATAGTAAAAGAAAAGAAGACCATATATGGCTATATTGTCAGCAGTGATACATTTCCAGATATGGAAGTATTAAAGACACTTAGACCTACCTATTGGGATCAACCATATCCAGGATAGCCTGGAATTCCGGATCTTCTTGACCCTCTTCAACCACTGGAAGATCGTAACCCAGAGATCTGAGACAAGACTTGAATTCCTGGTGATCCAGTTTTCCAGACTTATCCTTGTCAAAGTACCTGGAATGAAAAGAAATATAAAATTTCAAGTGCAGTAAGTAACCTGATAGAATTCATCTCTTTGCTTGTACAGTGGGGTCCATTTTATACCTTTTTTTTTTAAATCATGGTCTGACGCGAAATTCCCACGACTGGTCGATTCTGCAGCATACCCATTGCGATATAGTTGCGTAGAACTGATCGGACCAAAAGCTGAATTCTTATTGGTTGGCAGCTTATAATTCATTAGCATATTTATCAGCACAAAATTGTGGTGACAACTATAGAGGGCGTGGCAGAATAGACCAGAGTCGTGGTAATTCAATGTGGAAGATTCGACAAACTAGTTCTAAAGAAATTATGATATAAAACAATAACATTTCCACGACTGGGCCAGTTTACTTCACCCGAACCCAGCAATTTATCTACATAATCAAATAAGCAGCACCCTGTTGTAACATGTTAGTTGGTCGGTTGGATGTCAGCAGTTTAATACACTGACATGTGAGAATAAGGCAGAACCAGTCAGGTTATTAAACACATACAGCAAGAAAGAGTTGAGCATCTTTATATACGGATTCGTTAACTTGTACATGCTGACCAGCACATATTGTCAGACTAGCGAATAAACTGTATAATTCAAAATTTTAAAAATACTTCGCACTTACTTGAACATCATACTGAATTCCTTAAGTGCCTCTTCGCTGACACCGGTTGTATTACGAGCCTGGATTTGCTGTTCCAGATTGTGCTGCATACGCATGCCTAATTGGTCGAGCTGATCCCACTGCTGGGCAAGTCCAACTGTACTGTGCTCGGAGTATCTGAAAAATACAGAAACAAAGCGATGAAAACGAGCAACATACAGGTTCCAACTATACAGTCAATAAACAGGCGAGAGAATTGTTATTTCTTGAACATCAGACTTTACCATGGACGTTCATGAGAAGGTTATTACGTCTTCCAGCTGTCTGCCAATAAGTCTGCTTATCAAAACGTAATGATAAGCAATTTATTCACTGTCACTCTTGTAAAACAATGACTGACAAACGTTTATTTAAATGTGACCTTTACCGTCAAATTTTGACGAAGTTTCAAGGAAAGTAATTATTATAAATTTGACATCTAATGCACAACTGCAAATTGCTAAAAAACAGGCAGTGTTTTCAATCTTATGACAAATGCCGCTCTTTTAGATCTCTTGTCAGACGTTTTGACAGAGCATTGACAGAATAGTGTTATATTGAACATTTATAATTGATAGTCAGGATAAAGGTTTATTGGAGTTTTTTTTTTTTTTCAAATGAAATAATTTACCTATTATCCAGAATTAGATGTTCTTCCATGGCAGCACCAAGGTCTTCTATCTTCTTCAACTCTGTTCGGTGAGCACGAATTTCAACCGACTTGCGCTGTTAACAAAAAAAACAACAAATATGACTTATTTTGTACAACACTTATCAGATTTTATCAGATCAATCTGTGCAAATAGATTCTATTTAAGTTTAGCTATTTCAAGCTTTAAAAATGTTCAAAATCTTTTCTCCAAGGAGTTGGTTTTTAACAAATTTAACTTTTTCATTTTTGTGAGCCAGATTCTTGTACACTACAACCTCAAATAAACTAATCCATTCGGATATTTTATCATAAAATACTGTAAAATGACTCATTTTAAATTTCGCTGATTTACCATTTCAGGCTTTAAATTCAGGGTTTTATCATTTATATAATGTGTTCTATGCTGGGTTTTAATTTAGCACATTTTCCAGTCCGTGAAATAAGCAAAATTAAAACCCAGTGAATATTTAATCGTTTTACAGTACATCCATATGCACAACACATAAGATATTCCTCCGTGGCAGGTTCAATTACACAGAGCTATTCAATGTCATACCTTCATGGCTTCTAACTGGCCCTCCAAAGTGCCGGACTCCTCCACCATTTGAGCTCTGCAAAAAATAACAAATAAATAAATATCACAATGTTACCTCAATAATTGCACCAATCACTATTGGAACAATACTTAATTTGTAAGATGCATTGGTTTTCATTTGCCATAGCATGAATGAATGAATGAGATGGGATAACATGCACAAAATCATTTTCCCCTCACTAGCGGCCCTTCCTACCCTTTTCCAAAATGGTATAACTGCATCACATTAACCAATCAGGTTGTACCATCAGCAGAAAAGGGAATGAAGGGTTCAGGTAGGAACAACTTGGGACATTCTTTCCTTGCATAATCATTTTTATCAAAATAATCCCGAGACAAATGTACAAAATTTGAAACTCAACAGAACCGAGATATAGGCAGTCATAGTGGAGGGGTGTCCCTCAACATAATATCACGCCTGACTGTGGAAAAGATCTGTCAATTGTAAAAAGTGTAATTCAATTTATGCATATCAATGAGCGAATTTGCATATTGCATATAAATTTGCATAGTCAATTAGGTATAGCCTTATTTGGATTCTTACCACCAAAGCAATGGAAGAGTGCACTTCTCTGAGAGACGAAACAAAACCTCATTTTAACTTTAAAAGGATACATACATACATGCAAGTGAAGTGAGAAACAGCTCAGATAGATGAATGAAGCATGCAAAGATGATAAAAAAAAGCAAAACAGGCAGGCAGGCAGGCAGGAGGTGCTTTGGCAGGGCAAGGAAGGTGAATGTACTTGAGGACCTGTCAGGTAAACGTCACCTAACGGTCTCTTTGGTGAAATTAAATATTGGACTTTTTTTTTTATAAAGAAACACAACAATCAGGTTAGAGATTAGTTTTCTGTTGGTTTTTGAAAAAAAATAAAATAAAATAATAACCCTTCGCCCATGACAACGTGTTCCCTTCAGAATGAGAAGAAATGTTGCGTTTTTGAGGAAGCAAGGTGGACATACAGCCGCAGTGATAACCAGCACCGACACAGCAGACAAAAAGACAAGAAAGACAGGAAATAAAAGAAATAAATTAAAATACATAATACTGTAAATTAAATTACGCAAGAGACAAAGTCAGTGAAAATCGAAAATTTTGTAGTAGTGACTGCAGTCATAAGAGTGACATCTTTTGAGAAATGTTATTGACACAAACATTGTTAAATCATCAAATCCTGAAAATTAAACAGTTTACACAGTAACTAATTCAATTTTGTAAACTACCTAAATTTTGTGAAATGACAAAAAATATAACATTTGGCTGGGGCCCTTACAGTAGCCACAAATGTAAACTGGTAAGGAAAACCACTATCTTCTCATCAATTTCCCTTGCAACATCATTATATTCCTAGGAACAAATGCCAATGTTGTTTGTAACGACTTTGCCTTCAACTGTTGAAAATTAACAGCACATTTGCATATTTGAAGTTTGTGTGACCCTGTGGATCGTGGTTTTACTGTGCTCAACTGTTAACGTACCTTGTCTCTTGTAACCAGGCATGGAAAGCATTGGCGTGTTGAGCAAATTCTTTACGTAGTTTATCATTCTCTTCCTGTCTGCGCATTTCTTTATTCAGTTCACTTTCTCGTTCTTTAATAATCTTCTGAAGATTACGCCAGGTATCCTCAAGTGCTTCCATTGTAAACCAGGTGTAGGGGTTAGAGGTCACATTGTAACTCTTAATCTGTTTATCAAGAGCAGCTAACTGCTTGAGATCGGCTTGGGCACTACTCAGAGACGCGGTGAAGGCGTTGTGGGCTTCACGTAATGCCTGCAAGATAAAACAGCATCAGAAAATGACCGAAAATGTTTAAATACATCATTTACGGCTGCCATCAAAAGCATAATTAAACATTTCTGTTACAAAATAGTGTTTTAAAACTAGAAACTTGGCAAGTCACATAAAGCCAAATAACAATACAAGCATAAAGTATATAATTACAAATTTATTTTCCTGCCGGAATTTTGGCAAAACATTTTTCAAAATTGTACAATATTTTTTTTTTAGACTAAATGGACAAAATTTGGCATTGCCTACAAAAATTTATCAACAATTATTGAAATATGGAAAACAAGAATGTGTGCTTATTTGTTGAAGGGAGATAAATTTAGCTTTCAAATGTAATATTTGTATCATATTACACAAGATGAGAGAACTTTCTATAGACGGCTCACCACAATCAATGAGAACTGCAAATTTAGCTTGAATGTATTATACCTTGATCTCTTCCACCGAGTTACAGCGCACAGGATCAGTTAAGTCTTCTTCTGCATTTTCAAACCAGCTGTTGAATGCAGAGGCCTTCTTGGCAAAGGTCAAGAAGAGATCTTCAACTTGGCGATATTGATCCTGGGCACGCAACAGACGCTGTTTGCGATTGTTGGAGTCACTCAGCAGTTTTTCCCATCTACAACAAAAATAACAGAAAAATTTTATGATTAATATCCTTGAACTATTCTCATGACGTGACTAAATCTTGTGCAGATCTTATGACCCTATACTGGACATTATTGCTGTCATAGACAATTTTAGCGTTAAAAATATTTATGAAAATACGATTTCACATTCGCTGTACACTGTCTTAAGAAAATTTGTGGACCTAACAATTACAATACAATTTAAAAATAGCTATCGGGAGAATTTTGGAGCATTTACAAATGATGCAACTATTTAGTATGAAACAAGAAAGCCATTATTTTGAATAGTGTACCAGCTGCTGCAATTGGACATAGTTGACAGTGCAATTGGGGAGAAGGTAAAGTTAGGTAATGTGAGCCAATCCGTATGCAAATTATCAGAACCATCACACACACACAAGTTCAATGATGATGAATGTTGAATTTTTTTAGTTATAACAGATATACAATGGTAATTACTTTATCCCCTGCCAGCACTACAAGCAAGGGGGTGTAGCAACGTGAATCAAAACTCTACACGTCTTTTTGAAACAAATGGCAAGTTGCTTGATGAAAATATTGACATGTTCTGACCTACCTGTTAATGAGAGAAGTATGACGCTGTTGAATGGCTGGTGTCTGGGCATGATTGGCTGCCACTAACTGGTCTTTCAATGATGTAATCTGTTGAATGCCCTCTTTTTCAAAGGCGTATAAACCTGCATCAAAGGTTTCTTGTTTCGTCAGCAATGTCTGCACAGACGATAGATCTCTGCCATAGTCATCCGATCGCGCCATTCCTTCCTTGTCGGCTGTGGTGATACACAAAGCAATAAAAAGATTAACGTTATAAAAATACTCGTGAATACTTTGATGAGAAAAATGAGGAAGATAGAGAGATGAGACGAAGCTTACCAATCCAAGATTCAACCACATCAGCTTTCCAGATGAACTGTAGGAATGCTGAGTTCTCTTCCAGTTTTCCTTTACGATAACCTGCGGCATCCTGCAAAGTCTGGGCTTTCTGTTGCAATGTCTGCAAACGCTGAGCGATGGCATCTTTTTGGTGGTTACCCTAGGTAATATTATAACATAGATTCAGTAATGATTGATATCAAACACTTTGAAGTACTGCACGTCTTTTAATACACAAGACATCAATGGAGGCCAGTACTCAAAAAATTATCCTGTGCAACCAGGAAAATTATTCAAAATCACACATTATCCATCACAAAATATTCAAATGAGATGCAAATAAAATGCATAATTATGCAAATATATTACTTAAATATGCAAATAATATTCAACATCTGCTTGTTCTTATGAATAATGCTGATCAAAATTTATCAGCAATCATATTCCGTTTGGTTTAAAATTTAGAGAAAATTACAAAAAAATATTTGCAATGATATTTTTGATATTGATGGAATACTGACCTCTTCCATCAATTTCTGACCAGCTTTCTGGATATCAGCAATACGCTCTTTGTGAACACTGAAGTCTGTTTCAAATGCTTTGTGTTTCTTGAGCAGACCCTGAACAGCAGCCAACGTGTCACCGTAGTCCTCACTGGACATCAAGTTTTGCTTCTCATTCAACCAGGATTCTTCCTCATCCACGTTCGCACTGAATTGCTGGAATGCCAAGGACTCGTTCAATTTCTTACTCCTGAGAGAATAAGATGACAGCAATACATAAACTGAATGCCCACTCTGTTTAACTATTTACTGAATACAAGGTGATCAACGATTCTAACGTTGAAAAAAAAACAAACAATTGGTACACATACACAATTATATCAAATGTTTTTTTAAGTTTTTATCATGCGTTTATGATTTCATGCAAATTCAACTGATGGTTTCAAAAAAATGTTTTTGAAGAATGTTTTTATTTTAATGCAGCTTGATTCATCCGTTTTCTTTCATGCTAGGCATTAAATGGAGCAGCCCGAGAAGTTTGAATGGTCTGTTGCCTTTTGCTGCTCGGCAGTAAATGTTTTGTTTTTGTTTGTTTTTTAAATAGCACTGTTTGTTACGAGTCGATACATCCATCAATAGGTGATTTTCTGTACAATTGCGAGATCTCGCGAGATGCATGAAAGACGCGCGTCGAACGTCTGCCGCAAAAATCGAACGATTTGATTTTGAACTAGAATTTCTTTATTTTGTAGCTTACATTGACCGGCCGATCTTCGACAGAGGAATATTGCTTCCGAATACCCTTACTTAATCGAAATTGCCTATCATCAAATGTGGACAGCACATTATTGAGCATGGAAATGTCCCCGAAATACTTTCGTGTTTGTCGAATCCCACGTGATGTTTGACGCGACTACGACGCTATGACCTTTGTTTGTCCTGTTTTTACGTTCGATTTCACGCATAACGCATGATTCTCGCAGTGAACGGAAAATGGTCTATTTATTCGTCCATTATGTCATTACCGGTGATAAAAACATGGCTGATATCGAAACCTATCACTGTGGTTTACCTGATGTGTGCAAGTTCTTGCAATTGTAGCCAGCTCCTGTTGAGTTGATCCAGTCTTTCCTGGATTTCTTCACTTCCGAGGGTAGAATCTGCCATCAGTTTAGCTCCTGCATCCTGTACGGCCTAGATACAGAGAAATAATACACACTTTAAACTGGTATCCTGGTAAAATACTACATGTATAAGTTGAACTGACTGTGAGATGAAATATACTTTTGGTGGGACTGAATATAAAGTTAAAGCGGCATTGTCACTTTGTAACATATGCAGAACACCTCAAACTAATTATCGATCACTATGAAAAATCAGTTGGTATAAGCAATAAATCCTAAAATATTGGAATACTGAAGGTAAATCAACCTTGTAATCACTCAAGGTGAGTTTATTTTATTTTTGCAGATTTCACAGATTTATTTTTTATTTTAGGATTCTGTTGAATAAACTTTTTCATGAACTGTACAAAATCCAAAGCTTGCAGGACGTTCATGGGGTTAGTGAGAAGTTTTCTATACCAAAGTGGGAACGCAGCTTTGATCTTCAAGTTACAGCTACCACTATAAAGAAATCGATGCTCTATAATGTTTCTGATGTACATGGTCAGCGAAACAAAAGTACACTGGGAAGGTGTACAGCACAGCTGCATTCAGTCAATATTACATAAAACAAACTTCTTGTAAACGTACTTGAATTGCTGGTTCATGGCTGTTTATCTCGGCTTCCAGACGCTTATGTTTCTTTCTCAGATTCTGCACACCAGTTAGTTCTCTACCGTAGTCGTCAGAGCTAGTCAGTAATTTCTTTTCTCTGTAAAATAAACGCACACAAAATTATAATGACTAATTCACAATAATTGGTGCTCAACTCTCGCACTGACATCTTTTACGAGTTAGGAAATTTGACTACAAAGGTAAAATAAATATCTTCAGTAGGGATCAACTTTGTTTTAAACTTAAAAATTACTTAAAACCGACTTACTTGATCCATGATTCTTCATCATCAATGTCGCGGAGGAATTGATGTAGAGTATTAGATTCATTCAGTTTGTGGGTTCGTGTAGTTGTCAAGATGACTACTTTCTCATAACGTTCGTTGGTAATCTTCTGTTTTTCCGTTATGGCTTCTGCATCAAAATGACCAATTTCTACAAAGCTTTCAGCCTGGGAATTTAGGTCTTTCATACGATCCTGGTGTAAAAGTAAGTTTAACAATGAATGATGTGCCATGTTGGACATGTATGTGGGAATATATTCTTTTATTTAGAAGGATAGAATTTTCTGAGGAGTTGAAATGATATGTGGATACTAACCTCATGGGCAGCAACATCAGCTTCCAAGAGCTGATGTTTCTTGATAAGATTCTGTACTGACGTCAAGTCACGGCCGTAGTCTTCAGACGCTAAAGCTGCTTCAACCTGAACAAACATTTTTCATGTATTATAATTGAGAGTAAATACTTCAAAGTGAACGGCAAAATTCGATTTACGAAAGATGAGTAGCTTTAACACGAGTTTCACAAGCCATGCGGCTAATTCAAAATAATGTACAGTTAGTTCAAAAATAATTGATGACATTTTGCAAGAAAATTTATGGCATAAAAGGTTCCTACCTCTCCGAGCCAGAAATCCATGTCCTTCATACTGATGTTAAAGACTTGCTGTCTGTTAGCTTCTCTCAGCTGGACTGCCTTTTCAGTTGACTTCTGTACCAAGTACTCCCATTGGTCAGTCAGAGTAACCAATCGTGCCTGTACAGCCTCCTCACTGCCAGCACATTGTTTATCATCGATTAAACCTGCATAGTAAAAAAAATAAGTATTTGTTCTATTAAGAAATTATTTCCAATAGATGTACAAGATCTTAAAATTAATTAAGGACGGGGAATTGTGCTAACTACAAAATCATTTTTGTATTAAAATGGTTCTTCATTTTACGGAACGTGTGTAAAATAAATAGATCAACAAATGTGACATGTGAACAAGCAGCCTGTCGATTGAGATAGCTCCGCTGTTAGCAATGCACATTTCAATCAAAGAACTGAAGATATCATTAGAAAATAAACAAATCTGAAAGAGGTCTACCTGAGGTACCTATATGTATAATATCAACTTCATATCAAGTTTTTACCAAGAAGTCAAAAATATCACTTTTTACCAAAAATGACAAAATATCACTCAAAATTAGAGAATTGAAGATATAACAAAATGAACAAATCTGAGAGAGGTATGCCAAAGGTACATATACACCAAGTATCAAAGCATTCAGGCTTGTATTTTTTGAAGAAGAAGTCGAAAATGTAAAACATTGACACGAACAACAGACGTTGACGTTCAATCACTCATATAAAAAGTTGGCACTGACGACGACGGACAATCACTCATATGATGTGCTTTGTCGAGCGGAGCTTATCATAAAATTGTTTTTTTTTTAACAGACAGAAACAGTATGATTTGTAACAAAACTCCATGTTCATAACAACAAAATATTGTGTTCATGGATAGGCATTCGAAAAATAAAACAAAAGCACATTATCAACTTACGTTGACCAGCAGAAACGACTAATTTAACTCGTTCAGAGTTGGCATCGACTTCAGCTTCGAAAGCTTGGTGTTTCTGGAATTTACTTTGAATGTTACTAGGATCCTTATAAGACTCGTCTGTTGCCATCTGTACTTTCTCCGCAATCCATGCCTCGACTTCATCAGCGTCTCGACTGAACTGCTGCAGCGTTTGAGATTCACCAAGTTTGGAACGCTTCTCTATCAACGCTTCTTTCAAACCAGACCATCTATAGGAAACCATTTTATTAAAACATAAATTTTAGAATTACCCGTAAAATCTGTATTAGAAGCTGCATCCCTAATAGAAGTCACACCCATTCTTTTTGAATAATTGAGAACCCCAAATCATCATTTCTCATATGTGTAGGTGCTCTAATAGAAGCCGCATCCCCTCTGTTGCACTGTACCATTTTAATAGAAGCCGTGGTTTCTAATACAGTTTTTACAGTACACTGAAGATTCCCATTTTTATCATAGAATAACAATTTTAGAGCATTATAATTGCATGAATGCTAAATGTAAATTACCACTTTTAAAATAACAGTTTTATATTTTGTTCATGGACTCAGACCTTATCCACTTTATAATAGATTTGCATTTTAGGCAAAAGATGCAAATCTGCTGCATAAATTCAATGATTTGATTTTAAATCTGAATTTCTGTGTTTTATATCGAAATGCTGAAGGAATATGGCGTTAAGACACACTTACTTCATCAAAATTGATGCTCATTAGATATGTACGGCATAATGTTTTGATGCCACTCTGATGTTATAACCTTTGTTTTTCCGGTTTTCCAATTTTATTTAACATGTAAACACAGGATCTCGCAGTGAAAACAAAATTGTCTATTCCATCATCTGTTTAAAAATTGTTACTACCCTAGCACTGACCTGTCTAAAACTTGATCTCTTCTGTCGTGAATAGCAGGTCCATCGTAATGATCAGCTGCGACCAATTGATCAGCAAAAGACTGCAGAGCTTTAATTTTCTCTTCCTATCAGAAAACAACAAAATAAATTCAGTTTAAAAACCACATTTTACAACAATTTTCTTTTTTTAGGGTTTTTTTATTTTTCAGAAATGAATGAACGTCATAGACGTTGTGATGTGATGACTGAGTTTGATGGTAATACTATGGGGTTATTGCAAAGATACTGCAAAGTATGCACAAAGACAGTGCAGTGGTAACGACCACCCATAGCGATGCGCAGTCTCTCCTGCGTACTGTCCATACATCTTGTTATAACCTTAAAATAATATTATACATGTTCCTGATCAAACCAATTTGTGTAGAATACCATGAACTGAGTAAAATTATGAAAATTAGTATAATTTTTTTTCAAAAAAACTTCCGCTATCTCGGGAATTACTCCATACATAAAATTTGCATTTCCTAATATGGTGGAAAGCTGATAATAAATTTCAACATTATGACATGTTGGAACTTAGGGTGACAGATGTATGATAATAATTACTATTATACTTTCAGCACTGTAAAGAATTGTTTGATATGGTGGTAACTACACACCTGTGCACTGATGGCTTTGTCAAAGTCTTCGTGTTTCTTAATGAGTGATTCTACACCATCCAGTGAGTCGCTGGGACCTTCAGATGATAAGAAAGCTTCACGGGATGCCATCCAGGCTTCGGCTTGTTCACAGTCACGATAAAACAACTACAGAAAAAAATAAGTTCAATACTGATGAAAAAAAAGAACTGCAAAGAAACCAAGATGTTCAATCACAGTGGAATTGTGGTTGGCGATGGCAAGGACAATCATTTTTGATGGTTTAAATGTTAAGGTTCCATGCTATGTTGTTGGCTCTTTACTCCATCTTTGCTCATCTTCACTCATGAGTAAATAGGTACTTGATTGTGTAGTGTTGTGATAGCTATGTGTGATATGCTATGAGTTTACGATTTGATTTATCAGTCCAGCGACCAGGGATAACAATCTATAAAGCATATATGAACAGTTCACTGGAGATACATTATATAAATGGCTATGCATTATAATATTAATTAGCTTGAGTACTGTATGATTTCTATTCATTTGTAACCTACTAATCACACTGAACAGACCTCTGATTAGGTAAGTATGAAGGTACACAAACAGACTGAAAACAAAATTGTTTAAACAATAGCAAGAAAAACAACTGGTGCTGAAACGAATTGAAATAATACTTTTCAAGATTAAATTACCTGTAATTCCAAGCACTGGTCAAGCTTGATACGACGAGCATTCCAAGCCCTGGAAAACAATTCAATATAATATTACAACTA